GTAGGGAAATTTACTTCATTTTACCAAGTATATTATTTCTTAGCTTTGTCAAAAGCTCCAGGAAAATAGACAACGCAGAAGTTTTCCTCCTAAAGAAATGGTGGATAGTAAAATAAAGTACAAAACTAGCTGGCTTTGGGTTAGTTGGTTAAAAATGTGTGTATCAGTTCAACTGGAGTCAAGCTGCCTGGGTTTGTACTGGTTATCTGTAAAGGCTGACTGAATGAGATTCCTTTCATCATGCAGGCGCTGCTATCTTTGCTGCAGTAGTAGAGGCACGCTTTGACAGCCAGGGTAGCTTCAGCTGACAGACAGCTCCTGGGCAACTGGAAGGGAATGATGGTTTGACAGGAAACATCCTTTATTTCTCCAGACAGACACTGGCCTTGAAGCAGCCAGGTATTATCTGTAAAAGAACAAGAAGTTTTATCATTAAGATATTTAACACTATGTTTGACACCTACAGAAAACACTATTTTACCTATAGGACAACAAGGACATTCTTTCCTTGCGCAACATCAGGGGAAATTTCCTTCCTGATTTTTCCAGTTGTGGGGAAAAAAAAAACCAACTCAGAAAAGTAATTCACAAATGCTTCTTTAGCAGTCATTTAAAGATGGAGAGATCCACAGCTTTGCTTTAGAACTATAGGTATATATATGGCACATCTTATTTAAATGAAATGGACCTGCAGTTTGTCCTGTATGCCCTTAAGAACATATTAAAATTTATTCTGAGATATGCGAGCAAAACCCTGTGAATTACTGGGCTGCTATACACTTGTATCAGAGATCTAATACTCCAGGTAAGATATCTGCCATAAATGCATAAAACTGCAGGTAAATTATGGCATTTCCAAACAGAAGTGTTGGCTTTACAAGTGGGTTGCTGCAATTTAGCAATGTTTAGGCTGACTGTTACAACAGAACTTGAGCTTCACAATAATTTAAATATTTAAAAGTACGTGAACCGAAAAATGAACTGCACAATAAATGTACCTAGCTCATTGCACTGTACTCTGTATTTTACTGTGAGATGGATGAAGTGCTCTTTTTGGCATTTTTCAGAGACTATCTAAAAGTTGGCGCTAGAATTTATGAGCTTGAAATGACTTACTGAGTTCAGGTTGCTTACATTCTCCAATTTTACTAACCCTTGAAGCCATCACGTATATCTTTCCTTCAACAATATTTTGAGATTCTGGAGGCCAAGTGTGCCGACTCTCCTGGAAATAGTCTATTTGTACTCCAAAAGCACAAACTGGAATGAGAAACTACTTTCAATCATGAAGCACATACACAAATTGCAGTGCCTGTGCAGTATCTGTTGACTGCTCTTAAAAGCAATCAATTTAATTAAGCTACCATATGGACACTTTGAAAGCTGGCCAACAAAAGACGAGTCAAATGATGAGGAGATATTTACTTTCAGATCAGTTTAACTGCATTTACAAGGAGGGATAACTATTAACAAGTATTTATCATTGTAAAAGCCAATATGGCATGTGAATTCTGCCAGAGAGCAATTACTAAAAATTAGCATAACTCTAAAATCTAGCAGCATTTCTAAAAATAAATGTTTTCCAATGCAGTGCAACAACTGAGAGAACATAACTGAAATATAAATGTTCTCTCTGTTGCTTTCAAAAATATATTGAGGAACAAATGGTGCAATTTCAACACCAAAAAGTTGACACAGAAACTAAAGAAAATGACATTCTAGACTCTTCTTTTTTTTAAAAAAAATTGCTCAGCAACTCATTAACCAGTCAGTTAAGCTTTCCTCTGCTCTGTAACTGGCTTACTGGGCATCTTGTTCACATCCTCCAAAGGTAGCAGTCCTCTGTACAGAGACATGCATCACTTACTTCAGTGTGCCTAGAGAAAAAGTGCTGAAATTTTTCAGAGTCCGGATGCTAAGTGTCCTCCTTTCACCTCCAAGAACACTAGTTTATGGTAGCAGTTTTACTTCGGCACACAGCACCTACTATAGGATACTTTTTAGAAGTATTGACATTCCAATGAGAAAAATTTTCTTCAAGAGCATAGATGTATTAAGCTTAAAACAAATCAGTCACATCTGAGTAACTCAGGAACCAGGCAAAACTGTTCCAATACACAAAGAATGTTAAAAATATGGGTTATTTTCAATATTTGCTTTCATATAGTACATCCAAAATCACAGACAGATTCTCCTTTTTGGGTACAGCTAGACCACTGGAAAGTACTGTCTCCGAACACCCACTAATGGTCAGCCTATGCAAGTAGGTGTTTCAGATAACCACGTTATTTTTGTACTGAAGAGAACTTTATGAAACACTCACATGGTCTATTCTACCATTTGTGTTATAGGCATAGAAATATCCAGCATAAGGATGGCAACAGAGGCTAGAATTAAACCATTTGTTGTACACCATATGGACAAGTTGCATGTGCTCTTTTAGAACACTTAAGAGATGAGAGAGAATAATTTAGGCTCAGGAAACTGATGTAACATGAAATAATAATTCCATTATATAATAACAATATTCCCATTTCGCAGTAATCAAGGTACACCGTGACTGAAAGAGCCGTGCAAGGCCACAAAAGCAGTCAGCAAAAGAACTTGCAAGAATGGCAAATCATTTCTGCTGCCTTTACATACCATAATTTACCTCTTACATAAAAAACTCCAGTGCTTTATTATAGAAATAATCAAGCAGAAATACGTAAATATGAATTATAACAAAGATGGTTCAAGTGGTTAGGTATAAATGTACCTCATTTTTTTTAAGAGACAAAAACAAAACCAAAAAAGAAATATCTTTCAGGAATATGCATTCATGATGAGCTTTCTCCCAGAAACAGATGGTAGGGCTGGGATGAGCTGGAGTGAAGAGGGCAAACATCTAAGGGGTATCAGTACCTCTGTAAGCCCTCACTGGCAGCTTCTTCCAAAAAAGGGAAAAAAAAAAAAAAGCAGCATGTATTAATTCAAGCCAAAAGCAGCCTATCAGGTGGGGTTTTTCAATCTTTGCACTCCAACTGTTTAATGTATCAACTCTAAATAACGTGTATTGTCTCACAAAGTCAAATGAGAACACAGGACTGGGAGATACCTTCTAATTCATCAGACTGTATTGCAGGCATGTCACAATATAACCCACTTTGTGTCTTACCTACTCCTGTTCAACTGATAAAACACCACAGGCACTTTACCTTCTGCTGTGATAAACCAGGAATTGGGTGCTTCTTCATTCAGTTTTGAATCTGGAGGAAGAGTCAGCTTTAATAAAAACTGAATTGTCTGGCCAGGAGCGACAGCTAGTGAAGGAAGTTGAACATTTGGTGCAGATTTAGGCAGTTTTGGAAGGTTTGTTATTTTATCCTTTTGCACAGGCAGGTTATCTGGAACATCGCACGCTTCTGGACTCAGGATAGGCAACTATCAGTAGAAATGAAAAAAAAAAGCTATTTTTATTTGCACTGAAAGCAAACAAGCTTTCACAATACAATCACAGCTTCAAAGCTGACATGGACTAGGAAAACTAACACATGATAATATGGCTATCGGACTAAAACTTTCTGTCAGAGTGCAACAGTACTACAATGACAAAGAAAAAGGGAAGGACAAAATTATTTTTTTCAAATGAAAAGTACTATTAAAATCATAAAATCCACAACTACTTTAGAGCATCCACTACTTTGAGTATCCTTTAATTCAGAATTTCAACAGTTGCATTATATTTTTACTTAAAATAAAATTCCTAGGTATTTTCTAATCTGGTGGTAAATTGCATGATTTCTTAATAAAATCAAAGATTTTAACAATTCAGACTGCAAATTAAAGAATAATTGCCCAGAAAAGCCACCAACATTTATAAGATATTAAAATCTAAACACACATTAAGATCATGTAGTACTAAATACAAGAAACATACAAGAAGACAGTTGGACCATTATGTCATATATGCGTGTGTGTGTATATATGTGAAAACATTAAGACATAGAGCCATTGTAAGATGGACAAGAGCATTAATTCGTTTTCCTTTCATGTCTATAAGCAAATACAGCAGTGCTCAGTTATGACAGTGGTTTTGATCTGACAACTGGGAAGCCTGCTTTAAGTCACTGACCTCCCAAAATGGTCTCTTATAGTTTACCTACAGGACTTAGTAATCTATTTCAACTTCCACTTGTTACAAAGTACTCATGAAATGGGTTTCATACTGAAAAACTGGGCTGTAATGTTTAATTACTCACGTTTCTGTATTATTCTTTTCTGGAGGATCATCACTTTCTCTTTTCATGCAAAAGCTGCCTTTCCAAAGACTAAGGCTTTCAACAACTGTGCTAACAGGCAACGTTTATTTGACAGATAATCACAAAACTTTCTGTGAATATAGCCACTGTATCCAAAAAGTTTATTAGCTATCTGATTTTTGTACCACTTGCCAAAGTCTGTAATAGTAATTTATATCAAGAAACACCACTATCAGCCTGTTTAATAAATACTACTTGCCATGGAAAGAATTTTTGTTTCCAAATCCAGCACTTTAATCTGATGATTATTTGTGTCTGCAACATACATCAAGCGGCCATTGTCTTCAACACACAAACCGCCCGGTTCATTAAAAGTTGACTGTGTAAAGCTGGAACCAATAACATTGCTTGCTTCTCCTGTGCCAGCCAGGGTAGCACAGTTCTTCATCTTGGGATCTACAACCTTAATCTGAGAGAAACACAGACACAAAAAACCCACCAGGATTAGAAGTATTATTAGAAGCATTATCTTATGCCCTGCATTTTCAGAAGCCAACACTAACTTTGAGTACCTCAGCTACCAAGTATGTGTCCCAGAAGCTACGTTATCATACTTTACTAAATGACATGTCCCCTCTTCCCCTATCTCCCCAATCCCTGCTGGACTTTACTTCTTCCTTTCGTCTTTACTCAGTATTCCCTTTCTTAATTTCCAAGGCACCTACCCCTCTCATATAAAAGTAAGCTGAATGACTTGTTTTTCTAATGTTTGTTGCCTTTCTGGAAATATTTGCAAAATATTAAGAGCATAATAAAACTCACAGGCTAAATCCTATAACTTTTTTTAATAGATAAGGGTTTTTTTTCCCCTCAAAGTAATGGCAAAAACATTTATAATGTTTTATACAATACCTAAACCAAAAATTTCATTTGCCACATAAATTTCAATAAGCATTTAGTGGTATATACTTTATTCTTCAAATTAAAACAAAGCACTTTTCTTTCAATGCATTTAATCAATGCATGAGGTTAACAACCTTCCAGACATGAAAGCTTACACATCATCACATGGGAACAATCACACAAAACAGTATCTCTTATCTCAGAGTTCCATGGAGGCAACCCACAATACTCCTCAAAATTTGCTTGGTGTATTTAAGCGAAAAGCAAGTCCTCTTGTTCTCCCAGTTTTATCAGTATTCCTGACTAAACACTCATAGGTCTTTTACTCTAGTTCAGCACCTTCAGGAAGATAAAAGGAAAGGGTCTTTAGTTTGAACTGTAACTTGGCACTTTAAATTCACCTTCCCCAAGGGATCATCATATCCACACAGCAGCATGTGGCAGCAAAACAACGGTAAAGAGAAGGACTCATAAAGGAAGGAAGGAAAGAAGAACACACAAAGGAACTTGCATAATTTGTTTCCTGAGCTTAACTGAACCAAGCGCAATCTTTGTGCGTTCCTAAAATAATCCTTTGTAGTAGTAAATGTTGCAAAACCTGGAAACTACCGCAGGCCTACCTTATGATTATAGGAATCCGCCACATAAAGCAGTTTTCTTTTCTTGTCCCACGTTACTCCTAAGGGATGCTGCAGCTTTGCATTTATGCCTGCTCCATCCACATCACCAAAGGCAAACAAATTCTGAAAAAGGTATTTTATTAAATTAATACATTTGATTATTCAATGCTGACATGACTTTAAATGATTGTAATTAAATGGAAACTCACTGAATTAAAAAAAAATAAGGCAACTTCAAAACGAGGATACTGAAAACTGGGAAGTGTGGATACTAACCATGGAAATGGAAACTCTCGCATTTAAGTTATCAATATGAATCCAGCTGGCTTCAATGACCACATAAATGCCAAATCAAGCTGGCTATCTCAAAAGTAAATGAAATAACTTGTTATCTCAGAAGCAACAATCTCCACTACAACCTGCGCGTCACAACCGGCACACATTTGCATTCCAAACAGTGAACTTAAGAAACTGATGGCCACGGAAACTGATTTACCCTCTCACCCCAAAAGTAGTTCCTCCAGGTCAGGCTTGAGGAATATTAGTAGGGCAGTGTGGGGAAGTTTGAAGTGATTACCAATGGATCTCTCTCTCCTCCTACAAGGTGCTTCACTGCTCCGTCTTTCAGGGAAATGGTTCGCACAGTGCTGCTCTCACTATCCACTACAAAAAGGCAGTTCCATGGTTCCTCAGGAGCCAAAGAGAGACCCGAAGGCTGTGCAAAGCCTGCCTTGTGTGGGTACGCGTTGTTTCTGTTCTCTTCATTTCCACTCCCAGCGAAGCGAAGGCAGATTCCTTTCTTTAAATCACTAAAGAGAAATAGTACCCAAGTTCAGGAATGAGTTCGAAATACTTCAGACATTACGCATAAACAAAAGACACAAGACAAGCACTTGTAAGTTATAAAACCAACTGAACTGCAGCAGAAGGAATTATTCAATGCCTTTGTGCTAACTTTTATTTTTATTAATATATCATTCATCACTAGATAATTCAGTGAATGCAATGAAAAGTAACATACACTTGTACAAATGTACCTTACCAAGTCGTAGTTTCATAGCAAAAGGAGCATCTTTCATTTCATCTGACAGATGTGGGAAAAAGCAGGAAGACTTTAAAAGACACATGACTTTTAAGTCTGAACAGAAGCAGCAAGCTTCAAGCTAAATACAGTTGAGAAAAATAATTCTTAGTTTAATTTGATTCTCTCTCTTTGGGGTTTGAAAACTGTTTATCAAACAGCAATTTAACATGTCTCTTATTACAGTGGCTTACCTTCCCTTCGGTAGTTTTCCACCTTCCAACATCAGTGCCCATATCTGATGAGTGCCTGCCATTGCTATCCATAAAACATCATCTTCCTGGGTCCCTGAAACTTTTAAAAATGGTTGTGTAAAAACGGATGAAAAAAAAAAACAAACCACTTTGGGATTTTTTTATAAACCAAAGACATCAACAAACCAACCCTGCTGTCCCCCCTACTCCACCTCACCTTTTGCCATGGGGAAGGAAAAAACCAACCAAACCAGACAACAGAGCAAGAGAAGGAGAGAGAATGTCTTTCATCTACCACAAACTCTGCTATTTTTCTTCTGTTATCTTCCTGAGGATATAAAATTGTGTTTTAATATCCCTACCTGATACTTCAAATGCGATTTGCTCTTTGCAACATTTTGCTATTGGGTCCATATTTCACCTGTTATTTTTGGATTCATACCTGCCAACAAATATGTACATATCTTTGCTAAGCATGGTTTTGGGGAGGTGGGGGATGTGAGGGTTGGTTTTTTTTTTTACTATGCTATTGACAAAATTACATATTCCAAAAAACTACTGGCAGTTGTTTACAGGTTTTGAGAGAAATGACCATGGCAGTACCACCGTACATTGTATTCATAGTATGTAACATTTTTAAGATAAGGGTAAACGATGTTTACGTATCATGTAGATTTACACTCTGGACAGCAACAACTGCTTTTTATTCAAACATTAGATGTGATGTGGGCAATTACTAATTTCTTCCTACACTAACCATCCCGTTTCCAAGTTGTACTCCCTACACCCATGTACATGTGGTATCACAAATGCAAGCTGCAGATCTGCAGAACAGTGAACTCTAAGTATAAAACTACTATTCACCAATCCAGATCTTTGAATGACACAAAGCTTGCCCAGATAATACTTCACAAATAAAATTATACAAATGGAAGGAGAACACCTAAGTGCTCTACACCTTTAAACATACCACATTACTGCATAAGAATGCATGAAGACAAGTTGTGAAAGACCATTAAAAAAAACCCCAACAACCCAAACCCAAAGTAAATTTACTTATCTCAGCCTTTTCTAAAAATCACAAGAACAGAAAGTTGAGATTTAATAACTACATTAAAATGGGGACACTTATGTTACTGTTCTACTCTATGCACATTGTATACAACTGACCCATCTAGTCAGAGACAACACTAAAATGTTTTTCTAAGTGAATGTATTGGTATTGGAATAACTATTAGCCAGTCAACAGAAAAATACCTTCAAATTGCTCACAGAAACTTTTTATTCATGTGAATTTATAAAATGCTATGCATCTCAGCGCTGTTCCTGCAAATAATCTAATGGATACGTCTTCCTCACCCCATATTTTGGAGCTTCAAAGTAAAAGCAATTATATGCAAAATGCTTGTGAGCATTTTAAACCTGAGAAGTCAGTCCAAACCAATCTTCCTAAAATGACATTATCATCATTCCCTCAATGAGATCGTGCTGTTTGTCTTCTGATCCTACACCTTTCCTACATTACACACTGCAAGAGCGTGAAAAAGGCATCTTTCTGTCTCCAGAATTGATTTTCGTCACACTGCGAGCCCTCTTCAGAGTAGTATGGGTATGATTTTAACACAGTTCATCTTCAGCCTTTTTTTGTTTCTTGGATCGAGATGCACATTTCCAAGACTGTGATCACAGGCACTGCTGATTCTGTCCTGCACCTCCACATGACTCCATGTTTTTACACGAACTAGGGCTCCAAGAACAGAGGTCAAACTTCCAAAGCACCTAAAAGTTCTTTGTTGAGCAGAAAGGTTTGGAAAATGAGCTGGGAAACAGACATATTATCAGTCACCAGAGATGTGACCAAAGCACTGGCAATGCCAAAAACATCCCAATAAAAATCCCCAAACAACCCCTTCCCTGTGGAATCACCTTTGACTAGAGCTTGTTTTTAAGGGATTTAACTTGAGAAAATGGCCTATGAAATAATTTCACTACTTCCTATATAGTACACCTTCAGCTTCAGGATTTTGTGCTTCCCTGAGGCATATCTTACGTCTTTCAGATGCTGCTACTCTGAGTGCCCTGGAATGAATAATGCTAAAATCACTGGTCAATCTAGAAAGTGAGCTTTTTATCTTGCTATGCCTTGCAGTTCATTCTGAGGGATCTCAAAAAATGCTTTGTTAATTACTTTTCACTTCATCCGCCAATGAAATGAAGGAGTTAGACTTGAACTGAGCACTTGAGAAAAATCTGTTCCATTTATCTCTCCAATTCGCTAATTCCACCCACTGAAAGCTCCCTTGTCATAGCTATACATTGAAAAATTGGAAAAGTTTCTTACTCTAATTTGCATACTGAATGGTTTAACAAATATGAGACACAGGCAAGAAGTATCAATATTAATTTTAAATTTTACTGAATATGTAAGATCAATAGAGAGAAGATCCTTTCTTCAACTAGAGAATAAGACAGGAAAAATAAGAACTCCATAACTGCATAAATTTTAATGCAACTTAAATATTTGCCACTGGATGACAATTAGAACAAAGAGAATGGAAGCAAGCATGGAAATAGCACCAGCATACTGAATGGTGGAAAATACATCAGAACTTTAACAAACAAATTTATTAAACAAAAACCCAGAAGAGTAAAAACAATGCCTGTAGTTGCACAGCTATGGTAATTTATCTCACAATGGTCCTGATGTTACAGAGTTTAAAGCTTTATATTCTGAAACAAAAGACAGAAAAACGTCTTCTTTCAGGACAGGACAGTCTGAGGACATCACCACTGTCATCCTTGCAGTGTTCTCGCAGGAGACGGGGCCAAGGAGAACCAGATCGCTAAAATTATGGTAATGCCATCATTATCATAACGCCTTATCATCCCTGAGTGGAAAGAATTTATTTTTAAAGAATTTATTATAAAACAACATAAAAGAACAAAGCAGTTCTTTTACATTTATTCAATTAAGCATGACATTCCAACCTATCTTAAGCTGTTTTAAAAATCCAGTGTAGTTTCTCCTTATTAGGGTATGTGCTTTCTTATCTCTAGCGTTGCCTGTATCTAAGCAAAGTATGGCTTGCAAATGTGATACACTTATGTTATAAAGAGTCACTAACAACGAACTAGAGCTCTGAATGCACTGGTGTTCCATATTATACAACGCTTCAGTGCTTCTCAAGTTCCTGAATCTGACTCTGCCTTTGCTATGTATCTGTGTTTTAAGAATTCCCAGTCCTGTTAGTACGCACACACGACTTTAAACATTTCAGCAATACTGCTGACCATTAGCTGTGAGTCAATCTGAACACAGATAAAATAGTGTATTTTGTACCAGTCAACAGCAACATCTGTTTGAAGAGATTCCATTCCCAGGACTGCCCACACTTCCACCTTTCCTGTCTGGGGACTGCATGCTTACTTCCAGTCTGGGAATTAAAAGCCTGGGAATCCAAGTTACATTTCGTGGCTGGCACCAGTGACATTTTCTAAATTGACTTAAGCTTGAAAATATTATTCCTGTCTACTAATTTTATCTTTAAAAAAAGAAATAACAAGGAAGAAGTCTGTTGGTACACTCATCTTCTGCAAAAATACCAGAGGCAAAAAGGGCTATGCAACACACCCTCTGGTTTACAGATAGGCATGTTGCCTGTGTGCACACATGAACACAAGTCTTGTCTTCACTTAAGTCAGTGAAGATTTAGCAAATTAAATCCACATCTGACTGACAGAACAACTAGAGAATCATTGTTCTTCTTCAGTGAGACAGATAGCAAAGCCCCAAAGAAATGCTTTAGCACCATGACTTACAAGTATACCTCATTCTTTCTGGGGGAGTAAAAATTAATTTCCTTCTTCTCTTTTGTTTGTTTTTACCTGGCACTCTTTCACATAGCATTGCATCATGCAATCAGCATAACCCTTTATGAAACAGAATGCTTCTAGAATTTTCCTCATTCATTAACATACCTGCCCTTTCATGAAGGGAAATCTTTGCGCATAGATGCCAAGGGGATTTCATACAATGGGAGATTAAATGAAGTTAAGAATTAAGACTACAATGAAGTATTTTCTCTTTCTTTCTAAGTTCTCTAACTCAGGCCTTCTGACTGAAATGGCACTAAACATTCAAAAAAATCCAAAGTAGAAATGTTAGCATTTGTTAATACTGAAGAACTAATTTAGATTATTTAGTGTTGGGCCACATCACTGTAACTATAGAAAAAGCTAAGTTGGGTTATGTGTTTTATTCATTCCTATTCAAGCACAGCAAATGCAGACACTGGAGGGTACTTCAGCACCACAGTCTCCCTGACCCCCAACACCCACATTCCATATTCAAAAGCACTCCCAGCATCAGATGAGAACAGTTAAAAACCGTGTCTCATTCTGCCCCCAGCACGCCTGACAAAGTCTCTGAAAGACTTGTCAAGGATGTTTATTTTCAGCAGCCCTGCACCTGGAATTTTGCATGAAAAACAGTATCTGATACCTGAACTAGCGTTTAGCAATCTGATTTGTAGTTTTAACTTTTTTATCACGAGTATGAAATTAATTCACAGGACTACAGACTGTAACAAAAGGATGTGAAATCATAATTCCAGTTACAAATACCATGTTTTTACAAAGGCCAATTTCAAGACATAGACTGCAAAATGTTACTGAGCTTGACATCTTTAAAGATGTTAACTCTGTTAATCCAAATGCTTCTTTTTACTGCAGAAAGTAATCATCATCATCATTCAGTTTGTCAAGAGGTAGAGAAGTCAAATTTACTAGAAAAGTAGTCTGTCAGACTAGACTGTGTCTATCTAATTACTGTTAGATATTCAGCCACAGCTCCCATTGTATTTTATGTTAAGACTTTGTCCGTTTCTGTCAAAGGCATGTTTATACTAAAATACTAACATAAACATCTAATTTCTTGACCTGTTTCTATAGTGAGCATGTGAAATATTAATAGCTTTTGTTGCTGTTACTATTCAGCAATACCATAAATTCCATAATTGCGGAGCATTCAGTCAGCAGTTTAACCAGGTTCCTGTAGAGAGAATGTCTGTTCTGCTTCTGGAAGTTTATCCCTCTGCAGTTTTCTCTCAAATGTTTAAAGGAAAAAAAACAAAAGCCAGT